ATCGAAATATAAAGCGCACGACTAACATCAAACTCAGGATTAATGCAGTATCATAAACTCGTCGTACTCCAATAATTTTAGCGCTGAAGACTATGTACATTCCGCCAAGAACATTACCAAGGACAACTAACAAAAACTCACATGATGATGCTTGATCGACATCGTGCGAAATCTACCTCACAGCTTGTTGGTCGTGTGTTCACAACATGATGGAAAGGCCACAGGCGAAACACTTTTCCTGAAGACCAAGTTGACAAATAATGTTCCCACATATAGGTGATCCAATGCCCAGTAGAGAGTATGTCACACAAGTAATGAGCAATAACATAATGACATTGCATATGATACAATGTTCAATTTCCATTAAAACAAATAAACATGAGAGCACTTTTCCTTTCTTATCAGTTTTCACAATCCACATCTACAACGCATCAGAACCTGGCCACACACTTAGACTTTGAGACAAAGACTAACATATAAAACCATTCCCATATACAATAGAATAAACTCTACTAGATTGTAATCAACATCATACAAAGATAAGCCATACAATCTATCCACATTTTCAACAGATTATGCTTCTGTAGACTGTCAGTGCTACAGACAACAAAGTATCCTCACAATTGATCAGCGAGTCTGCTTTCTCGTTATACTATAACAGCGCTGACCAAGACAACTAGCTATTACTCTCTCTTGCCATTCAGCACAATAACATTACGACATCGTGTTCTGTACACGTAACATCCGTGATAATTGAGTCTGTATCAGTGTGAGTTCACTGCCGATGGCAACTGATCACCTCCTTAGTCTTTCACCAAGAACCATACCTAATCACGGTACTATGAAATCGGCAATCTCTAATACACAAGCCTGATATCCTTTCTCACACCGCTACCGATCGCTACAGTACATATCCAGCCCCTTTGCCGCCGCGTAGATTCTCGACGACACGAGATTAGATGAGACCCGACGACTTCAACAGCTGTGACAATATATCAACGCAAAGATCAAACTCAAATCACATACATTGCCTATCCGTCGTACCCAATCTGCTCACTACTCTATTACAATATCCTAAGTTTGGATTGAGGGATAAGTGAGTTTAGGCCATAATCAAAATCGGGATATCGTGCATCGCCTTACACACGAAGTCCACTATCAACACTGTGAGCCCTCTGATACCACGCATACACCTAGACTCAATCGCAATCTCTAAAAGAGCACTAGTTAATTACCAATAAGCTGTACCTAGTCCAAATCCAGACTAAACACTCATCCGAATTGTTTTCTAACAAAACACGTGTATGCAGATCAATGCATAGTGAGAAGACTTTCTCACGCGCGCTCCAGTAGAGTCTCTACCAACTCAGGCATAATAAATTTTGACAATGCCAATTTCAACTAATTATTCCAACTCCAATTGCGAACTAATCGCTACACCATTTGCCCACACATTTCCTCACCCAAGCAGCGACCACCTATTGCTATACAACCAATTAAATTTATTATGCATATTACGAGAGCGCATGAAAGAATGTTATGGTCCATTATCCTCACCCACAAGATTGGCTCTACTCGCCATGATATATCTACACAACGAAGACGAGATCTCGGAACCCAAATTTTCACCACCAACCTAACATAAATCCATCATTTTGAACCCAAATACTTATTATGAGCCCAAAATCACAAAGGCCCTTGTGTAACAACGATTTATTACGAAATCCTCCATAGATATATTTGCGTCCAAATCCAATAAGCAAATATCACTTATGAAACAGATTATGACATGCAACATCCTCGAAGTTCTAAAAGACACCAAAGTAGAAGCGAGTATTCGAGGTAGCGATACATTCTCACCACCCATCAAATTCGCGAGAGCGTACTAAGAGGCATGAGAAACGTGCTTCACAAGTAGTACTCAACAGTTGTCCAGAAAAAACTTTGCACTAAATCATACGTGATCACATGTGTAGGATTAGCATCCTCGTGACAATGCATCTGTCAGGAACACACCTTCGTACTTGTTCCCACCTCACATCCCTTCATATTATTCGATATGTTTCTTGAGAGAACTCTAGTCTTGCCCCGCGTGTTCAGTATTGCATATGGACAGTGCTCAAAAGATCTGGGAGTGGTATGTCCGCCTATGCCCTACTTCAAAGCGCGAATCAATGCTTCTGACGTCTACAAATGTTTTGGCAGTCAGCCGAGCTAGTGTCGATTTTCTTTCACTACTTCTCCTTACTGCCATCAACAAGGTAATGGTTTTTGAATGGTCCACCGAATGCGACCGAATTTGAGGTTAGGGATTCCTACTCACACTCTAATAGCCTTCTACGTCTACAACACTTACCGTACTCGTAGCTTACGTTGTTGTTACCAACTCGTTATTGACAATCCGCGTCTTAGGCGATCAGCCGCTCAGTGCGCTTTCAAAATGTTATAGTTCTAGCAGATAAGGGCTTCAATAGGGTCCGTTTTTGTTTGATTTATTTGTGGTCCTCGATAAACTATAATAAGTATTAAAATAGTGGGTGGGTCACCGAAAGCAATGACAAGTTGTGATTTTATGTTTGATAATGGCTAATGTGACACGCTCGGTAACACGGCTACCGTTCTATTCATATAAAATATTACGCCAGGGTCTTAGCGCAGTCTCGTGCATAAGAGATCATCTGATCCATTATACTTCCTATGTGATCATAGTAAATTAGTGTGATTGCTAACAGAGTTATTATCAACCTCTCCGAATAGTGCGTACGGTGATGCAGAGCAATCAGGACTGTTTAGCGAATATGGAAAATTTCTTTGGAAATAACATCGGACACATAATTTTGTTATGCTACATTTCTAAATTGTGTTATACTTAAAATACACGACATGAGTACATTTGCACTTATATATGAGAGTTCTCTCACACTTTGACACACATTAGTATCTAATCTATGCTTTGAGTTCTTGCCATGTCCTATAATCTAGCTTGTGAATGAGGTAAAATGTTGCTCTAGCCAAAGGCTGGGCAATGATCTCTACCGACACCGATCGGTGATGTAAGAGTTCTATGTTGAGATGATTATTTTTTGGCTATAACAAATCGTGCGAGTTGATGTGATAATGCACAATCTAACAAACTATACGAATTGCTAGTGTCATAAGTGCGAGTCGTTTACTGCAGGAGTGTTTTTAATCGGATGTCTGCAAATTACGACCGCAATGTATACAATTTTATTGTATGCAGTGCACGTTTGCATAGCCTATGTGATTTACCCTGAATGATTGCATCATAACAAAAGACCGTAATATCAGCGAAGTTGCCTGCTTTCTAGCCGGTGGCTGCGGAATACGGAATGCGCATCCTACTCCTCACGTGCCGTCTCTAGGGCTGCTAAGATAGGGAATATGACCTCTAAATCGATTGTTTTTGGGAGGGATATTTTGTAGGGATTACATAAGTGAGCTCCAAACTTCAATCCCAGCTCTAAAAGGAGTGATTTGTACACGATAGCAGCTCTAGAATGATACGACCGGATATGGCGGCTACTTAGCCATTATTGAGTGCGTGTAAATACATTCTTTGCACAAGTATTTCTCTATTACAAGCTGTGGCATAAATTTGACCAATCGACTTTAAACCTAATACAAAGTGTAATTTGACCTATCATAGCTACATAAGCATAGACTTAGCTCAGAAACTATCAGCATCTGCACAGCATGCACTTTTGCTATGAGTGGCCTTGGCCTCTCGACTATGTCTCAGAGTCAATGTTTCACGACAGGTACGAGTACGAAGTTATGAGTTCGTTCCCGAGTATTTCCATAGATATGGACATATGCTTCTATTATCGGAGTCGGATAATATCACGTCCCGATTAATGATGTCATCATCTCGCAATATACGTGTTATGCAACCCCCATTATTCGTTTATTGTGTATATACTGAGTAATTGACTCTACGTTAACTGTGAAGACTACTATCTCCAAGTAGGTTACTAGAGAAATAAAAAAGTAGAAACGATCTATACTCCTAATTGCTAGCCCAGACTTTCTCTACTTACCTACTCCTATCCTGGATACTTATCCGACCTATAGGAGGGCTTTTTACAAATACTCATGATCCCTCGTGCTCTGTCCATATCTGTGATGCCTGTTCCAATTGCCCTCACCGCACAAAGTAGTGATGACAATTATTTCAGCTTAGACTTCTGACATCTAGCATTACGGTAGTGAGGGTCCAGTCAGGTGTCCACCACTCCCAAAGGATCTAGTCCTTCGCTGGACATGACGTCTCCTGTCCAGAACTCCTTTAGTCTTGATAACGCAGTGTGTATTTTGATAACTACTTGACCGACACATGA